CTGGGATCACTTCCTATTCTCCATGTTACAAATATTTACGAGTCTTGAGCTCTCTCTTAGAAGCTGGCAAAAACCAAGAAGTGTAAGACAGTCCCTGCTCCAGATGAACTGTGAGCACACAGAGTGGAGGCAAACACACGTCGACCAAAATAAAAAGTCATAAATGCTACGGCAGCGCCTCATGCACCAACAAAGAAGGTATGGTGAATACTGACAGAAGGTGGCTCAGTGTCATCATAAAGGATATAATAAGGCAGCAGAGCCTGATTTAGGCCTTGAAGAATAAGTAGGGCCTAACCGAATAGAAAAACGTGCAAGGGCATTCCAGCTGAAAAGAACAGTGAACTAAAGGCAGGAATTTTATCTTAAGATTTATTTTCCCTAATGCTTAGGCCAGTCCTTGTCATATATTAGACACCAAATAAAGTTTAAAGAGTAAGCAAAGGCATAAAGATAAATGATTAGATAAGTAATTTCTTTGGAGTTAAGGACTTGGTCAACGACATGACGGCCTTTTAGAACATTGCTCCTAATGGAAATTATGCTCTTCTTACAATAACCTACGCTATGACACAGCTTCCAGGAAAAGTCGTCATCAAAAAGAGTTACTGCGAGATTGGTAAGTGCGGAAAGGGTAGCTTTCATTAATTGCTAGGCTTGCTTTTATTTATTTTTTTCTTTCCCAGCTATGAACAAGTTCTCTGTTACAAATAACAAATATATAGGTCATAGGATTAAGGACTTCTACTATTTTTCAGTAGAATTATAAATATCTACATATGAACACCAACTACAAATTCTGACCACAGAAAGAACCAAAGTAACAAGGTTCTGAAACCCATGGTGACCAAACAGCACAAGTCAGCACAGAACGAGAGCCTAGTATTTTATTAACTCACTGCGGAAACCGTGTAGGAAAGATAGGTCTTTGCACAGGGGGTGTTTTGGGATGAGGGGGACCTGGGCTGATAATCTCTGCATCTGCGTGGATATGGGAAAATTGTTTTAATTCTAAATTTTCACCTATTATATATATATTTTTTTCCTTTTATCGTTGTTGCAGAAGTTCTACGAGACAATGCGTATGAAGGACTGGCAGGTCAAGGAAGGCCAATAATTGAAGTCGTTATTGATAACGAGATCCCAGTAAATAGGAGTCGATGCTCAGGAAGGGAAGGCATTTGGCAAATACGAAATAGACTAAAATCTTCATTTTGTCTCCTTGAAATGAGGTGATTAGATAATTGGATGTTTTAGCAATTAGGGTGTTTCTTTTGATAACAGCAACAGTAATGTTTAAATATAGTACTCCACATTAAAAGAGAGTATTTTGGTAAATTTAATGAAGCTGAAGGCACCAAAGCTGACATTCTGTTTATCGCTCAACAATTTAACTTCCCTGACGTTGACATTATTTCCCTAATAATCTCTTCCACTGTAAGAAAATCATTTGGAGGACAGCAAGAAGGACGATTTCCATGTACCTACACAAACTATGGAGCAGGACTGTGGCCAGGTCAAGGGGTACAGCTGTTCTGCAACACCGTATATACAGAGCAGAGGACACGGATTTTCTTCTACTGCGTTTTTTAAAATATTTACGACTCTGTAATGCATTTGGTACCCCAACCCCACCACTTGTGTATCAAAGATCTAAACCTCCTTCCCATAAAATGTATGAAGTATTCAGATTTTGAAAGATGTTCTGCTCTACCTTATGCTTAAGTAGAGTATCAACCAAGAATGCCGTAATTAATTCCTTTACAACAGTAGAAGCGCTCAGAAAATCTTTACCATCTCTATTGTTCGATGCAAAGGTACAGTACATTGGGAATATGTTAAACTAGAATGAAGCTTAAAAATTAAAAAATAAAATGAGCTTATAAATCAATGGTAAATTTTAAAAATGTCTCTTTCATAGAAGTAACTTGTTCTTTAATTTCTATGCCGTGTAAAGAAGACCTATAGATTATTATATATTCCTAGATGCATCCAACCATAAATAAATCACACTGAAGAATGTCTCCTTGGAAACGTTTTCAGGTGTTATCAAAGTTCTTTGTTATGTATGCATATATACACACATAATAGAAAAATATATATAAAACATATAATTCATGTATATTTTGAAAAAAATATTTTCCCATTTAGAAAAGATTCACTTAGGGGCGCCTGGGTGGCTCAGCCGGTTAAGCCACTGCCTTCTGCTCAGGTCAAGATACTGAGATCCCAGGATCTAGCCCCAGGACAGGCTCCTGCTCAGCGGGGAATCTGCTTCTCCCTCTTCCTCTGCCCCTCCCCCTTGCTCACGTGTGTGCGCATGCACGTGCACAAGTTCTCTAATCAATTAAAAACCTTAGTATATGTGCTGCCGAAGCGAGCACTCTAATAAATTAAAAATCTTAAAAAAAAAAATTCACTTAGTGTTCCTTTAAGTAACTGGTTCTTCTAGCAAATTTCTAGAGAGAGAAAACAGACACAGTGGAAGAAGTACATCTCTTGTGAGAACTGTCTTGCTTGCTAGATTTAGAAACTTGGTTCTTAACTACCTTCAGAAAGCAAACAGAAAAGGGTGGGTGCAGGGGAGGATGAAGTCAGGGACAACTGTAGCTGCACCCCCAGGCTCAAGAAATGCCACCACACCTTACCCCAGCTTCTGTCTTTCTCAGACCTGACTCCCCCTAGGCCGCTTTTATTCGGGGCCTGGCTCCCTCCGGGGGGCGGCATTCACTGGTGAATGCTTGTCCTTCCTTAGAGAGAGCGATCCATGGGAAGGGATGCGGCCGCTCTCCCTGGATTCAGCTGGGAAGTTCTACTCCATGGCAGCAAATGTGCCTTTCTCTGAATTCTGCGGTGCTTTCAAAACAAGGGAATGCTTCAGCTAGGCACAAAGGGCATGCCAACCTTGACTGTTACAATACAACCTCCCCTCCCGCCCCGAAAAGGGCACTGCTGCCTGCTCCAATAGTGTGGCCACATTTCCCTGAAATCAAGATCAGCACCCAAGATTCTAGCAGGAGGTGACAGGGGTGAGGAGTCCCCGGAAAGGAGGGAGGACAGGGGTGCTGCAGGGGCAAGGACAGTGTGCCCCACAGAGGTCGTAACGTGTTAAGGTGGTAAGACGGGAAAACAACAGTACGCACAGAGCAGACTGGAAGATGAGATTACCCTCAGAAATGCTGAGAGAAGGTCCTGTCCTTGGAGCTGAGGTGTGGCAAATTCCCCTCACTCCGTACCTTTCTCCCTCTTTATGGATCACACGATAAAACCTTGTGGGAGGATGCTGGGCTCAGGGAAAGGACCGCCAGGTTTAAACACTCTGTTTTCACGCCAGGTGTGTCTCAGAGTTACGGATTTCCTCATCTGCAGATCAGTGCTCCCGTCCAGCGCACCTGTGTGGCTCAGGAACCGCACAGGATCAGGTCTCTGCAATGATCAATCAGCTGTCTCCGCGCCCACCAGAGTCCGCATCCCCGATGGGGAAGAACCGAATTCTCCTCAACTCCGTAAGCCCTGTGCCAGCAGAGCGTTTGTTATACGATGAAAGCTTCATAAATCCTGGATCAATGGCTAAATAAATAAACCAGTTCAAAACGAAATTACTAAGGAAAACAGAAACAAAAACAAGGAAATGAATCAGTAAAAAAGAAAAAGAATTGTTCCTAAAGGGCAATTAAGTTAGTGTATATTCACAAGAGTAATTCACTTAAATCCAGCCTCCGAAACATACTGATTGATGACACACCAGACGTGACGGCCGGCCCTTCAATTCCAAAAACAGATGTGAATGAATCGGATACTCTTCCTTAGCTTAGGGAGCCGAACGTTTCGATTAGCTGCATGTGACCACGATAAGGGGCAGATAAGGAGCAAAAGGACAGACTAACTTGTAAGAGCGAGTTTAAAGCGGCAGGAATTCGGGCGCCTGGGTGGCTCAGTTGGTTGAGCGACTGCCTTCGGCTCAGGTTATGGTCCCAGAGTCCTGGGATCGAGTCCCACATCGGGCTCCCTGCTCGGCAGGGGGTCTGCTTCTCCCTCTGACTCTCCCCCTCTCATGCTCTCTCTGAAATAAATAAATGTTTAAAAATAAATAAATAAAATAAAACGGCAAGAATTTGGGCGCCTGGGTGGCTCAGTTGGTTGAGCGACTGCCTTCGGCTCAGGTTATGGTCCCAGAGTCCTGGGATCGAGTCCCACATCAGGCTTTTGGCTCAGCGGGGAGCCTGCTTCTCCCTCTGACTCTCCCCCTCTCATGCTCTCTCTGAAATAAATAAATGTTTAAAAAAAAATAAATAAAATCAAACGGCAAGAATTTGGGCGCCTGGGTGGCTCAGTTGGTTGGGCGAGTGCCTTCGGCTCAGGTCATGATCCCAGGGTCCTGGGATCGAGTCCCGCATCGGGCTCCCTGCTCGGCAGGGAGTCTGCTTCTCCCTCTGACTCTCCCCCTCTCATGCTCTCTCTCTCTCAAATAAATACATCTTAAAAAAAAATAAAATAAGGGCGCCTGGGTGGCTGAGATGGTTAAGCGTCTGCCTTCGGCTCAGGTCATGATCCCGGGGTCCTGGGATCGAGTCCCGCATCGGGCTCTTGGCTCAGCCGGGAGCCTGCTTCTCCGTCTGACTCTCCCCCTCATGCTGTCTCTCAAATAAATAAATAAAATCTTTAAAAAATAATAATAAATAAATAAAATAAATCGGCAAGAATTCAAGTACGGAGCTTCCTGAACACTGTGCCCGTGAGCCTCACATGCAGTCGACTGCCACTCACCAGCAGTTGTCACAGTGGCTGCTGTGCTGTCGCCTTCAGCGACAGCTCTTGTCGTCCTGCTGCGCGTCCCGGCGGCCCAGGGGCGACGCGGGAAATGCAGGCTCCGCGGCGGGAGGTCTGCTGGGAGACCCGGGCTGCTTTGTGCCAGGACGAGTGCGGAGGCTGGTCCCGTGGGCGGCGCACCGCCGGTTGCGCAGGCCCGAGGGGAGGATGCAGGAGCCGAGGGCTGGCCTCCGCTGCCCCCTGGACGGACACTTGCCCTCCGCCTCCCGCCACGCCAACGGAGGCCCGGTCGTCGAGCCCGGCGTACGCCTTGGGGCGCCCTCCGCATCAGCGGCCCCGCAAGCTGTTTAGGGCAACGCTGCCTTCGCCGCTCATCCCATGCAGGCCCGGCCTGGTACAGCCAGCGTGCGCCAGCGCCCCGGTCCCCGCGTCCCAGCAGGGAGACAGGCCGGCCCGGCGGACAGGCCGCTTGGGGGACCCCTCAGCGCCCCCTGGATCGCGCGACACGCGCCCATTTTCCAGATTCGGCCCGGGGCTGCGGTCGAGCCAACCTGTCCCGAAACAGGGGGCCCCGGGGGGACCTGCAAGCAGCACGGCCGCGGCTGACGCATCCCCGCAGGGCTGCTTACGGAGACCGCACAGGGAAGGCGGCCGTCGCGGGAGGCGGGCGCGCTCGGCCACCCCTTACGGCTGTCAGCTGCGTCCCCGCCCACGAGTCGGCACGGGGCGCCAGCACACGGGGCAGGGGCCGTCTGCTGAAGGCGGACGCACCCGAGCCCTACGACTTGGCACCAAGTCGGGATGTTAGCATCCCATTCGGCAGGTAAGTCACCGGAGAAGCTCAGAGAGGGTAGGCAACCTGCGCAAGGTCACACAGCCTTCGCAGCCCGAGCATGCGCACGACACGCACACACTCTCTCTCTCTGAGGTTTCCTACACCCTCAGGGAACAAGCTACCAGGCGTCGGGCCACAACGTAGCACGTGAGCCCCGCCCGCGCGGCCAGCCGGACCGCCCCACGCTGCGGAAAAGCAGCAGAACCACTTCCGGGACACGGACGCCCGCAGGCACGAGCGCTTCCGGTGCGCCGCGAATGACGGTCGTTCAGGCTCAGCAAACTCGCAAGACAGCGGCCAGCCCGCACGGGGCGCGAAGGCGCGCGGACGGACTAAACCGCATCGCTACGTGTGGAAGACGGCCGCACTCGAGACGCAACTGTTGTCCCTTACCCGCGCCCGGGACAGCCGGGTCAAGCGTCCGCATGAGCGCCGCCATGTTGAGCCCAGTGTTTTGAACGGGGTGGGCGGGGCCTAGCGGAGGCGTGCGTCGGCAGCACGACGTCGCAGCCCCGCCCCGACCCCTTTCGCGACACCTTCCTGGGCAGGCCCTCCGCGAGCGTGGGCCCGCCCTGATGGGCGGGGCCTCGTTGAGTGACGGCCCGGCCCCGCCTTCCGCTTAAGGGGGCCGTTCAACATGCAAGTGCCTGAGACCTGCGTTGGTAGGGCGGGCTCTGGTCCGTAGAGGTCGGTCCCCCACGCAGCCGGGCAGGTCCGGCGGCGACCCCCGCCCCGCCGCCCCCGGGCCCCCAGGCCCCCAGACTGACGCTGGGTCTGCGCGCACCTGCCGCGCGGATGCCCCCGCCCCCCACCCCACTGCAGTCTGCAGAACTTCAACCCAAACCGCGGCTCGGATGCCCCGGCCCAGCCTCCGGGCGAACAGAACAAGGGTCTTCAGCCCCTAAACTCGAGGCCCAGGGCCTGTGCGTCGTCTGGAGGCGCGGGAGAGGGGTGGGGGCGGGGCAGGGAGGAGACACGCCCCAGCCCGGGGGCCTCCAGGTGAGCCTCGGGGTGGCCGCGGGACATCATGCACATCGGGCCCCCTGGGGCTTCGGGAACACGGCTCTGCCCTTCAGCTGAGCAGCACGAGGCATCAAGGGGTGCGGGTGACCTTTCCTGGAGGCTTCGACTGCCCCCGTGGGCCTTGACATAAATAGGTTGCCTTGTTCAATAATCGCTCATTGCATAATGGAATTGATGGTGGGCATCATTTGGGGTTTTTTTTTTTTAAATATATATATGGATGCTTGCAATGCAAGTGTGGGGCAGGGGAGGCAAGCACTTCTCTTGAAATGCAGTGATGCACTTGGAAAGAGCACGTGTGTCCTCTCTTTGGAAGTGGCTACTTTCTAGCGATTTTACCTTCCGCAACAGGAGCCGTCCCCCCAAAAGTAAAAAAGACCAAATGCCTGGCCGCTGGTAATTTATTGATCTGTTTCCTGCCGGCTAATCAAATAGGAGATTGCAGCATCGGTGTGATGAATCCATATGAAATTCAACTTTTTTTAAAATTGATTCAGCTCTACTGGGCCAAGGTGAGAGAGTAAAAAAAACGTGTCCTTGAAAAATTTGGGTATTTGATGAGACTTTCACTGACGATGCTATGTTTAGCACAGAGAATGATGTATTAAAGCAAAGTCTCGTTACCAGGAGGCACGAGACAACACAGCATGTGCAATAAACTCTACCAACTTGCAGCATCTTTGTTTTCGGTATCCTCAGTTTCGCATCCAGCATGAAGCACACCAACTTGTCCTTTGCAGCCTGCGGGTTCCTGGGCATTTACCACTTGGGGGCAGCATCTGCACTTCGTAGACACGGCAAGAAGCTCCTGGAGGATGTCCAGGCCTTTGCAGGGGCTTCTGCGGGATCCTTGGTTGCAGCTGTCCTGCTAACAGCCCCACAAAAAATAGAGGTAATGAAGTAGTACCTAGGCTGCGTTCCTTGTCTGAGCGGCGGACGTGAAGGTTGGCTCCTACTAAATTAACTGCACAGAAATAATCCTTTGGGTACCAGAAAAGGTTAAGAGTTTTCTTTCAAAAAAAAATTTTTTTTTTTAAGATTTTATTTATTTATTCATGAGAGACAGAGAGAGAAAGAGAGAGGCAGAGGGAGAAGCAGGCTCCCAAGGAGCAGGGAGCCCGATGGGGGACTCGATCCCAGGACCCTGGGATCATGACCTGAGCTGAAGGCAGACGCTTAACCATCTGAGCCACCCAGGCGCCCCTCTTTCAGAATTTAATTATTCTGAATCTGTCTTCCGGACTTGGGAAAGATTAGTTTGGATGACAGTGAGACAAGGAAATAAAATGACTTATTTATTTATTTATTTATTTTTACTCTTGAGTGATTATTTAGTCTTAAGATTCCAGCTCCGTTTCTTTCAAGCAAAGGATGTTTCTTCTTTATCTGATCATGACGACATCAGCCCTGTTTTCAAAGGCCTGGAACGCTTGGCCGATAATGCTTTCTTTCCTCCCATTTACACACAGGTGGATAAAGGAAAATGACCAACAATTTCTATTAAGCGGAATGATACAGAGATTTTATTTGTTTTTCATTCTCACAGTTGAAGAAACTGTGAATTCCAAGCAGTTTATCCAGAAGTAATGAAAATAAGCCTTCATTAGGTATTACATTTAATGCAGTCTCTGTTGTAAAAATGTTCTCTGCTTCTAGACAGCAATCATGCATTTGCTGACTGGGAGAACTGTCTTCTGTAGGTGCAGGATATCGTATTCATTCATTACTTACATACTCTAGTGGCTTTGAACAACAACTGAATAATAGTTAACACATTTGTGCCCAGGAATGAATTTAAGTCACATTTAAAATGTCAAGACGACAAAATTTTAAACATCCGGAGTCTTGTTCTCATGATCTAGGATGAGCTGCTTATGAAAGAGAAACTGGAGTTGAGGCCAGCCGTATGAGAATCCTCTTACGTTTTCTTCCTGTCTTTGTACGGCTGCTTTATCGGAAACTAGAGAAAGGATGCAGTGCTGTGCAGATCGCACAGATTGAGAACCTGAAGGCGGTGAACGTAGACGTAAGGTGTGAACACCCCGCAAGCCAGCAGAATCATATGATTTGAATTGCAAGCTACTTTCTTTCCAGAACTCCTGAGGCCGGGGACTTCCAGGGCGTTGTTTGCTCTTCCTCGGTGCCATCTTTCCTTTAGGTGGGGCAAATCCTCAGCTTTGTGATTAAATAGACTTGGTTCCGAATCTTCAGATTTAGAAATGTATTAAGTGTGATTTAGAGGTAACGTGATTTGGAAATTCTGCCATAATACAGCCACTTAACTGAAATTCTGTGACGTTCAGGCACGGACGGTTCGTCTGGATTTGAGACTCGATACCGTATTTCAAGCCAGAGTACCTGTTCTTGTACCTTTTCTCAATGAATCGGAGACCCTGTTGTATTGTCTAGTTGTGTTGGTAGGATTGGGTGGATTGTTGGGTTGGTAAAGGAGCAGGACTTACTGGGTGCTCACATTGGAAGGTGCAGAATGATTCTCTGTATTTACCTGGAGCATCCTCATTTTTCCTTTGTCAAAGTAAATTTTCGGCCAGTTGATTTAAGGTTATTTTATTTCTTTTCTTTTTAGCATTTGAAATACACCACTCGTAGGACTGCTCTGAGTTTTTTAGCAAACTGTTTTCTACTTACATCCGTGTTAGCTCAGCTCTTGCGGATGATTCCTCGAGCTTTGTGGTGTTGTGACAGATATGTGAGTAATTAATCTAGTTCTAAGCTTATGCACGTATAATTAAGAGGAGCTACCTGATGCCGGGTGTATTTTAGGTGGCAGGCAAACTTAGACGTCCATACCTAAGAGCTCAGTGCTGCAAGCGTTTTCTCAGCCCATAATTTGCAAGGCACGGTGTTCGATATAGTGGGGAACACAAAGATGAGTAAGTCCGTCGCTTAATAAGTTTCCAGTCTGGTCAGGGGAGTGTGTGTCTGTGTGCGCATGCACGAGTGTGTGTGTGTGTGTGTGTGTGTGTAAGTAAAATTAATACAAGAAAGTAGGTTAAGTGGGCAGTCTGGCCTACTAGAAGGAGCACACATTTTGGGGACTAACACCCCCCTCCCCGCTACCTTCCCCTCCCACTCCCAGGGCTCTGTTTTGACTTGGGACGGGATCCAGATTTCTTGGCAGGCCTCCCAAGACCCCTGTGACTTGGTTCTCCATTGGCTCCCTGATGATGATTTTCAGCTCAGTGCCCTTGGGGGCTTGTGCTCCCAGTGGTCTCTGCCAGTCTTCCTCATCTACCCTCATGTCCTGTCCAGCTCCTACTCACATTTTAGGTCTCACCCTAGATGTCTCGTTGGAGGGAAGCCTTGGTTGACGCCCGCTATGTAATTCTTTTGTTGCTGCTACAATAAATGACCATAAACTTAGTGGCTTAAAACAATACACATGTATTGTCTTAGATTTCTGGAGGTCATAATTCTGGAAAGGTCTCACCGGACTAAACTCAAATTGTCAGCAAGGCTGTGCTCCCTCTGGAGGCTCCGGAGGACAGTCTGTTTCCTTGCCTTTTACAGTTTCTGGAAGCAGCTTGCATTCCTGGGCGCAGGGCCCTCCTTCCATCTTTAAGCCTTAAGCACAGCATCTTCCAATCTCCCTCTCTAATTCTGACACTCCTCTTTCACCTACAGGGATCCTCATGATGACACTGGACTCGGCTACATAATCCAGGATAACCTACCCATCTCAAAATCTTTAACTTACTCACATCTGCAAAATCCCTTCTGTCTGTAAGGAAACACAGAGTCCAGAGACTAGAATGTAGCCGTCTTTGGGGGTAGGAGGCTTGATTCTGCTTACCGCACCTTCATGGTGCTCTCGGATCTGTGCGCTGAGGCAGTCCTAGGTCTCATGAGGACAGGGGCTCTTTGTATCTCAGTCCACCTGAATCCCAGTGCCTAGGACCCAATATAGGTTGCATCCTGCATGAATTAATAAAGGAAAGATAGACCTGGGTTCAGATCCTGACTCTGGAGGAGTTTTGATGCGATACTGGGAAAGCTGTTTAATCTTCCCAAGCCTCAGTTTTCTTACTTGTCAAGTGGGGTATTATAGTCACCTTACAGGGTTACGTGAGGATGAGCTAACAGAAGCTGCATCCGTGAATCCCAGCACATTAGACGCCCACCCTCCTCACCACGCGGAGACTACCGATGCCCAAGACGGATCTCCAAAGACAAACAGCAGTCGTCACGAGTCCTGTCTTGGTCATCGGTAATCAGTACTGTTGCAGGTGGACTGTTTCAGAGGTCACAGAATTGCGATGGGAGAGGAGGTCAGTTGTGTTGGAGAAATGTGTAGAAGAACGTGCTAAACGAGAATCAGAATTGAGTCTTCAAGGATTTCCCAGATGTGGGCAAAGCCATTTGAGGTGGTTTAAAAAGAAAAGGGAAAAAAGACTGGATTTGGGAGAATGCATAGCTTGCCTGGGTACTAAGAACGGTGGGTGAGGACCGGGTCTGGGGGGTGGGGGCGATTCACGTAGCTCTGAAGGAAAGGGGCACCGAAGGCTAAGCATTGGGTTTATAAGAGCTAGGGTCCAGGTGCCTTGTGTGATGGCCACAGAATTCTGGAAAAAGAAGGAATTGGTTTTTTTTCTTTACAAATCATAGGTTCACCTATTCATTTTCTTTTTCAGGAATGTAATGAATTTACCTACAAGTTTGCCGAAGAAATCCGAAGGCAGTCTTTTGGGGCAGTAACACCCGGCTATGATTTCATGGCCCGATTGAGGTATATACATGTATATAGAACGTTTCCCCCAAAGCATGTGAAGACAGAGTGTTGAGGACAGTGTATAAACTGTGCAATGCTCAACGTAGTGTTCTCTCTTCTAAAATATTTCCAAGGCGCTCGATAATTCAAGGTAAATAATGCGGGTCACTTTTTCTTCTTCAGAAGCGGAATGGAGCTGATTCTCCCCACCAACGCTCATGAGTTGGCCCACAACCGACTGCACGTATCTATCACCAACACCAACACCAGAGAAAATTACCTGGTCTCCAATTTTCCCTCTAGGGAGGATCTCATTAAGGTAACACAGCTGCATCTCATGTTTGAGGAACTCAGCGAGGACTTAATTACTTCTCCCAGGCGATGAGCATCACCACGTTCTTTAGATCCAGGGTTTCCTGTGATGCCTGAGAGACGAAGAGTGCAGGGTAAATGATGTGTTTGATGAGTGAGTTAACCAGTGTCCCTCAGAGGCCACCTCGGAGGCTCCAGAGACCTCCCATACTGGTTCCGTGTTTTTCTCGTGATGGTCGGCAAGCCCACGAGCACCTGGGAGTGCAGCTGGGTAGCGCAGCGGTACTAAGTTCCTTGAGTGACGTAGCTGGTATCTCCCAGTTCACGTAAGACTTTCGTACACGTGCTGTCTTACTCAGTCCTCCGCAGCCTTCTGTAAAGCAGGTAGGACAGGTGTGATTACTGCCCGTTTACTGCTTTCTTTTTTTTAAAGAGAAGAAACGGGTGGAGAGATTTTACATGATGTGCTCAAAGGTCATACTGCCTGCCTGGGGGAACGCATTCTGGACCCTAGGTCTCTTGACTTTCCAATCTAATGTTCCATTTCATCCTCCCATTTTGTTATTTTTTATTTTTATTTTTTTTTAAGATTTTATTTATTTATTATTGAGAGAGAGAGAATGAGAGAGAGAGCATGAGAGGGGGGAGGGTCAGAGGGAGAAGCAGACTCGCTGCCGAGCAGGGAGCCCGACGCGGGACTCGATCCCGGGACTCCAGGATCATGACCCGAGCCGAAGGCAGTCGCTTAACCGACTGAGCCACCCAGGCGCCCCCTCCCATTTTGTTTTCATGCTTTTCTAGCCAGACACATTTGGAAGTTGCTCAGTGGTGAATTTATCATCTCTGGGAAATACTTTGGCTAGAGTTGCAAATAACAGTGTGCTTGCTAAGGTAATAGATCAAATATTTGTAAATGCGAAAGAGTGCGCTTTTCTTACAAAAGCCGGGCGATTTTTTTCTCTGTTTTCCCTTTGGTGGGAATCACGGCCAGCTTCAGATAATATGGAGAATGCGTGTGTGGACACAGCAGTGGGCGAGGGATTGAGAGTAAGTGGTGAAAGTTCTGCCTGAATTACATGATAAATGCATTGATTTTTACTATCGAGTCTAACTGTTGGCGTTTTACTGTGTGAATGATATAATTTGAAATACCTAATGAAATGCTGAACTGACAAGTAAAATTACTTTGTGACTTAATAGATTAGAATATTTTTACTTGGTGTGCTGACTACGCCAGTCTTACACTCATAAATTAATAGTCTTTCCATGTTGGAAAAAGACCTCTTTCTATCATCTTGTGGAGACTTGCCAGCTCTGAAGGGAGGAACTGGTCAGTCCCCGCCCGAGTTGTCCCCACCTGCCAGCGTTGGCCCAGATTCGGGGGCTGTCAGTGTGCCGGAAGGCCTCTCCGGCCTGGCCCGGCACCACGACGCGGGTCACTGTGTCTCAAAGCAGGAGGCATTCGATCCAGTAGTTACCTGCTCAAGGCGTCCGTCCTCGGCTCCTCTCTCGACAACGGCAGAGCGCCTGGCGTTTCCCGTAACCCCTCGGAACTTACCCATCACTGTTCACATTCTCCGTTGTTCACTGCTTTACCTGGTTAGTGTTAATCGTCGGTCTTTCTTCACCAGAGCGTAAGCTCCAAGCGGGCAGGGGTTGCTCTGATCCGACCACGGATAGTCCCCGCACCTGGCACAGTACCAGCTCCATCAATGTGGCGTCAGCCAGGCAACGGGAATGGATACATAGATGAACTGAGGTGGCATCAGCAACGAGGGCCTCACTGAGAACAAAACAAAAGAAGGGGCGCCTGGCTGACTTGGTCGGTTGAGCATCCAACTCTTTTTTTTTTTTTAAGATTTTATTTTTTTAGGGGCGCCTGCGTGGCTCAGTCGTTAAGCGTCTGCCTTCGGCTCAGGTCATGATCCCAGGGTCCTGGGATCGAGCCCCGCATCGGGCTCCCTGCTCAGGGGAGAGCCTGCTTCTCCCTCTCCCTCTGCCTGCTGCTCCGCTTACTTGTGCTCTCTCTCTGTCAAATAAATGAATAAAATCTTAAAAAAAAAAAAAGATTTTATTTTTTTATTTGAGAGAGGCAGAAAGAGAGCATGAGCAGAGAGAGGGAGAAGCAGACTCTCAGCTGAGCAGGGAGCCTGATGCGGGGCTCCATCCCAGGACCCCGAGATCAGGACCCGAGCCGAAGGCAGACACCTAACCCACTGAGCCACCCAGGAGCCCAGAGCATCCAGCTCTTGATCATGGCTTGGGTCTTGATGTCAGGGTTGTGAGTTCAGGCCCCACACTGGGTTGGGTTCCACACTGGGTGTGCAGCCTACTTTAAAAAAAAAAAAAGAAAGAAAGAACAAAGCGTCTGGATCCTACATGTTGAGTGATCTTTACAAAGTAAGTGAGCTGGTCAGTGGCCCAGCTGGGACTACCGCCCAGATGTCCAGTGTTCTGCTTGATGACATCACATGCTGGAAGAAATGATCCCCCTCTCAATTCCTTTTACGTGGCAGTGTGCATGGCTGAATGATGACCTCCAAAGATGTCCACACCCTAATCTCCAGCAACTGTGGATATGTCACCTCCCATGGCAAAAAGGATTTTGTAGATATAATCGAGGTAAAGATCTTGAAATGGGGAGATGACCCCAGATTGTCTGGGTGGATCCGAACTAAACCCGTAAGTCCTTAAAAACGGAGATCTTCCCTGGATGCCATGCACCGCTGCTAGTTCTGAGCTCTCATGCTAGCACAGAGCCCTCTGACAGCCAGCAAAGCAAAGGGGACTTCAGTCCTCCAGCTGGTAGAAGTGAATCCTGCCAATATCTGAACGAGCAGGAAACATTCTCCCCTACGGCCTCCCAGAAGGAATGCAGCCCTCTACTAACACCTTGGTTTCAGCTTCACGAGAGATTCTGATCTCTAGACTGCGTGGTAAAAGATCTGTTTGTTATTTTAAGCCTCTCAGTTTGTAGTAATTTGTTACAGCGCGATAGCAAACTATTGCAGTAAGTAAACATGATTTTTTTTTTTTCAATTTCCTTTGTTTTGGAAAATAACTATTCAGAGAATTGGTGTAATTACTTGAGTTCATTGAACAGAAGAGAAATAGTTGACACAAATGTGTAATATCTTGTAAGGAGAATAATTGAATAATTAACGTTTATCCTAGGTTACACAAGAAGCATTTTAAATATTTAGCAGAATGCTCTAACCTTTTTCAGAACTAAAAATAGGAAGGATGGATAGTTCCTAGATGGCAGATAGTGGCTATAAAATGTCTGAAATCCATGCCTGGAATACTCAAGAAGCATTTAGTTTAGCAGTAAGATGGGGTGGAGACTACAAGAGGGGAGAAGAAAAAGCATGGGGAGGAAAGAAAGCAAACTCCCTTGTGCGTGGGGACATCATCCGCTTCTGTCCTCTGAGTAAAAGAGAGGCCAGGTAGAATGCCCCGTGAAGAGCCACGCGGCAAGATGGGGTGGCTCCTGGTGCAGTGGGGAGGGAGAGGAGGAAGCCGCCTGCCCGCCCTTCCACTCCCCTCCCTCACGGGGAGACGGGAGGGCCTCCCAAAGCCTCCATTCTGGGAGGTATAACTTGCGAGAGAGAAAAATGGGTATTTGATGAGGCCTCATTCCAAGCAGAGTGTTGAAGGAGCTGCCTAGCTTCTCTTGACTGCTTCTATAAAACGCAAGAGAGAAGCAACCAAGTATGCACACTTGAGTCTCCTGGGAGCTCTGCGTACCTGCATACCAACACACAGCCTTGGGTTTCCTACCCAGTGTTTGGAAATTCTGGAGGTGAGAGAGACAAACACAGACACAGACAGACCAAGACTAAAACCAGAGGTAGGGGATGTCAAGTATCAGTTGGCAGCTAGTGAAGGAATCTGGAAGTACTAAATACGAGGGATTTCAACCACCACATTGCATTTTAAACCCACCTTATCATTAACTTGTTTATTCCCAATCTAACTAGTGTTTTTATTTTTTTTAATGCTGGGCTCTTTATTATCCACCAGCTGACTGCCACATTTAATTACAGACAGGGTGTCTACGTATGTTAAAGCGTGCATGTGTGTATGTGTATGTATGTCAAGTCCTTTGTGTGCATGCATGTGCTCTCTTGGAGTATTGCATGTTTTATGTGCATCTCTCAGTGTTCCTCTGTAGGTCTGTCATTTCCTGACAGTGTCCTCCAGGGCTAATTTTGTTTGAGCCTCAGTTTTTCCAACTGTGAAACGGACTTAATGAGTCAATCTGTGTTACCATGGAGAACAATGAATAAAGCAAGTAAAAGTGTGTTTCAGCTGGAAAGCGCTGTATGCGTGTTGATCACAGCCAGTATTCAGCAAATAGTAGACAGATCAGGTACTAAGCCACAGACGTTGCTGGTCAGCATGCGTGTATGAGTCAGTCGTGAAATTTCAAGTGTCACAGCTCTCTTTCTGTGGAGTAGGATTCACACACAAGTAGTTCTTATGCACAAGTACTTCTTTTCCCCCTTACTTATCCTCAGTGTTCATGAAGAGTGTCCTAACCTACATCTACAATATCTCAGGAAATGGACTACTACCTAGTTTTGCCACGTTTTCACGTAAGATTTTCCATCTCTTTACCACTGGCTTTCTTTTATAAATTTGCTTTTGTGTGAGGACTCCTACTTAAGTTGTATTAATTAACTTCGCTTTTAGTTGCATGAAAGATTATTCTTTCGTTTAATATCTGCAATGATAGTCAAATATTTTCTAAGAACCTGTGTTGACCAGTTATATGGTCCAAAGATTCCCTTCCCTTTTTTTTTTTTTTAAGATTTTATTTATTTGAGGGCGCCTGGGTGGCTCAGTCGGTTAAGCGACTGCCTTCAGCTCAGGTCATGATCCTAGAGTCCCGGGATCGAGTCCCGCATCGGGCTCCCTGCTCGGCAGGGAGTCTGCTTCTCCCTCTGACCCTCCCCCTCTCATGTGCTCTCTCTCTCTCTCTCTCACTCTCTCAAATAAATGAAT